AAAAGATGGCAAGCGCAATTTTAAGGCAACCTTAGTAAATGCTAACTTAACAATGGGTGTATATAGTTTCTATGAGAGGTCAATATGGAATGATTTATATGGAATAACTTGAGAAGATTATTCATCAATACTTTCATCATTTTTTAAATATTATTAAGATTGCAATAATAAGCAATAAAAAAAAAAGACAAATGATCTCAAGCAAAAAAGATGTAATAAACAATAAAATTTAGAAATAGCAGTTGCAAAAGAAAGAAAGAACCATGGAGTAGAGTAAGGCTTTAACTAAAATCAGCAAAAAAAAAGTAAGAGATAAATAGTTATAAAGTAAAGAGGAAAAGCTAACCTGCTAATCTAAATCCTAAAGATTATTTTAAATTTGAATAATTTTCAGTAACGGAAATAAATTACAACTGCTTACGTCCCATGACAAAGAAAACAACAAAGTTTGCATTTCTTAATACTACCTATAAGTAGTGTAACAAAATTAAAAATTAAAGTTCAATGAATCATAATGATAATAAATAAATATAAATATGAAATTATTTATATTTATTTTTTCATTAAGTATAAATGATATGAATAAATAAATATAATTAATAAATTATGTTGGAGTATTAAGATAAAAGTTTTAGTGAAATCATAGGTTTGAATTGCATAAATTTGAAAATGAAATATTGAGCACAAATTAGGGTATCAGATAAACAATGGAAGTTGATGAAGATCAGATTTGAGATTTGGTCACAAAGCATCTGAGTAAGAGATGGAAGAAAAATAAAGTTCACAACTTGATTCTTAAATTTTTTCCTATTAAGCGATTTAAATTCATTTGGCAATTTGTTGTACAACTTTATCCCATTGAAAAAGATATCCGCATTTTTTGTTTTGATTTTTAAGTGATAAATATTTGCATAACATGTGAAATAATCGTGTACTTCATTGTTTTTTATACAAAATCCTTAAAAGGCATTTATTTTCTTTTGACCAGATATTGCTGCATCCCACTATTTTAAAAAGGTTCAACAGTGGTTCAATGATAATAATGTAAAAATTGTTTCTAAAGATGCGAATCCTCCAAATCATCCTGAAAGGCACAAGATTGAAGATTTTTAAACAATAGTTAAAGAAATACTTTGTGGACAGGACAGGGGGAGTAACAAAAAATAAAAAGGACTTTCAAAAAAATGGATTAATGCCACCAATATGGTGAAAAAAGAAAAAAAATCTGCGAATAAATGGCATCAACTATCAATTAAGTTTAATCTCTTGCCAAACAGGCCATCAAGCCCATTAAAAAAGTTTAATCTCTTGCCAAACAGGCCATCAAGCCCATTAAAAAAGTTTAATCTCTTGCCAAACAGGCCATCAAGCCCATTAAAAAAGTTTAATCTCTTGCCAAACAGGCCATCAAGCCCATTAAAAGTAAGTTAAAACTCTGATTGATGTAAACACATTTGACAAATTGAAATAAAAAACTTTTATGGTTTCAAAGAAATTTCAATTTAAGTTGGTCAGAGTTTTCCATGTCCACCCAATATCATAAGAATTAAAATTAATTTTAAAGTTGTACAGTTATATACATATTACATATATTTACATTTTGTAGAGCTCTATAAATTTTTTTATAACGAAACATAACATTTATATCATGTTGGACATTTTTGTAAAGAGTTAAAATAAGCATACCAGCTCCCCAATCATTGATTGGATCAAACATTGCGTTCAAGAAAAATGTTTTTTCTTTGGGGTTGAACTTAAGATCACATTCAATGTTATAACCTAACACAGAAATCTTTCCTTTGAACATAAAGCCAGGTGGGATAGTAAACTCCAAACCACGAATCTTTTTATCTGAAAATGCCAAGAATAAAAGAACTTAAATAACAAAAAGAAAAAAAACAAAAAAAACAAAACAGTGAATTAAATTGTTACATTCATAATTAGTATAAAAAACGTATTTTCAAATGTTTTTACCTAATTTTGAATAATTAATTTTAATGTTAAAATAAAATTAATAATTATACCTTCCAAATAAAAACTAACAGCAATAATTAGCTCGCCAATGAAACCACTGTTTGCAACCATTTCTGGTAAAGTGCGAGTACTACCAAGTGCTCGTAAAATGTTTCTCAAAGTTAGGTCTGCACCAAAGCTACGTGCATAAAAAAATGAATTGAGGGGGTTCGCTGCATCAAAACCAAAATAACCTTGGAACTTAAACAACTCTTGGGTGTCTCCATTAAGATTCCCAAGCCATATTTCTGCACCCATTTCTAAAAACATTGAAAAATATATTTATAAATATATATTTTTGAAAAATACATAATAAACATTTTGAAACTATAAACAGGAAAATTACAAACTATTTAAAATTATATTTGTAATTAAAATTCAAGTTTAAAGTTTCAGATTTGAGCTTTCAAATGAAGATTGTTTTTTTAAGTACCTTTTTAAGTGTTTTAATAATGAAATACGTTTTTTTATTTTAACTTTATTTTAATTAAAATAAAACATCAATAATTAAAAACATAAAAAATTAATTAAAGTTAAAAATATAAAGTAACATTATAGTTATAATTAATTTTTATTTTAAAACATAGTGAAAATAGAATAAAATAAAAAAGAATAAAAGTAAAGTTGTAGTTATAATCTCCTAAATAAAAAAAGTTAGAGGTACCAAGAGATGGAAGGGCTGTCTTCAAATCAAGTCCAAAATTTAAATTAAGATTTCCAAAAGCAAGCCACTCAACACCAAATGGTTTTTCGATCATACCCTCCATAGCTCCACCAATTTGTAATTTTCCACTTAGATCAAGCTCAATAAAGCCTAAACACATTAAAAAGAAAATATGTCAAAATTGAAAATAAAAAATTAAATAAAAAAAAGTAAGTAAATTAATAAGTATTATAAAGAATTTTTTAACTTATTTAAGCAACAGCCTATGCCTTAGCTTAACTTTCTAATAAGACCCTAATTGTTTAAAAAAAAATAAAACAAATCACAGTTGTAAAAGATGATCATGGAAGCGATAATGCAAAAGACAATTTCTTTGACGGTCAAAGAAATGAGTAGCGTGTAAAATAAGAGTTTCAAAAGACAAAAAAAATTGAAGAAAATTTAGTTTGAAAACTTGTGAAAAGAGTTTAACAGTCATATTGCTATCATCTAAATTTTCTATTTGCTTCATTTTTATCAAAATATCCAGCTATTTTTTTAAACAACTATTTGAACTTATTAAATTTCTTAAATCTTTTTTTAAATATAATAAAGGTATCAGATATACAATTTGTGATAAAAAAAACTATAGTTAGATTATGTCAAAATGCATTATTTTAATTGCAGGAAGTAATAAAATCACAAAGCCACAAATTAAAAGGCTAGAATGTTTTTAAAAACATTTTAAATATTTTAAAAAACATTCTGAATGTTTTTTTTTTAACTGCAATGAATGCGCAGAGTGTTGCTACATCAACTATCTTATAGCCTAATTGCAACAGTGCTGCTACATTGACTGTTAAATAGCCTGACTTGCAACGGAGTGCTGCTACATCAACTGACAAATAGCCTCAAACGTAACAGAGTGGTGCTACATCAACTTAGGGTTTGAAAAAACTTAAAACTGACATTTTATGGTAAAAACTTAAAGACTACCATGCAAGAGTATATACACCATTGGCCATAAATTAGAGCTCACTATTTTTTTTGTTTTATAATCCTGTTTGATTAAAATTATTTTAAAAAACTATTATACTTTTTCAATAACTTCTTAGTACTAATTAATAAGTATTATGTTTACTGTTTATTTGACATGTTGTTTCCTTAAAATTTATTTTGTACGCCTAACTAAATATAATTTGATAACAACTACTAAATAATTTTAATTTTTTGTTGGTCAAAAGTTAAGGCACACTGCTTTATTTTTAAATTTTAAGTAATGTATTAATGATTTTCTTCAATAATTTTTATTTTATTTTCATCTGCATTAATTATTTCAAATTTTTTTTGTTTTTGCTTGAAATAGTACTAAAAAAAACATAAATAAATTAAATAATAAAAAAGTTACAAAATGAGCGAAGAAATACAGCATGAAACTCCAAAATCACGATCAAGAATCTCTGAAAAAACACAATATGAATCAATATTTCTTCGAAACCAAGGACTATCTCATTGTCAAATAGCAAATGAGTTAAATATTGCATATTGGTCAGCTGTAACAACACAAAGAGATGAACGTTTGTTAATTAATTTAATGAAACATGACGGAAAGTTATCGTCAAACGCTCTCTGCCATAAATTAAACAATACATCTGGAAAAAGTGAGTTCAAGAACTGTTAGAAGAATTCTTCATAGTAATAATTATATGTGGCAATCTGCATGCAAGAAGCCAAGATTTTCAGAGAAACACCAAAAAGCAAGGGTTGCATAATGCAATCAACATAAAAATTGGCCTGATTGCAAGTGGCAAAATGTTACATTCTCCAATAAAATGAATGTTGAGGTAGATATGCAAAAATGCAGTGTTATGCTACGGTAATCACCTCAAGAGAGATTTGATTCAAATTATACATTAAAACCAACTAAGCAAGGTAGTGGCAGTATAGGCATTTGGGCCAACATGAATTATGCAGGACTTGGATGTTATTATTTGGATGCTATTATATGAAGGTTGACTTAATGCTAATATATATATTGAAATTTTAGATAATTGCTTTCTTCCCTCAATTGATATATTTAAAGAAGAAAACAGCAATATCATATAACAATAAGATGGTGCATCATGCCATACAGCAAAAATATCCAAACAATAGTTTGTAGACAACCAAATATCAATAATGTCCTGGCCTGCTAACAGCCCTGACTTGAACTGTATAGAAAATTTATGGTCTTGGTTAGATCATCATCTTAAAAAAATTCAAATTTTAAATGTCGAACAATTAAAAACTGAAATAAGAAAACTGCTTGACAATGTGCCTAAAGAAATAACTGAAAATCTTGTAAACTCAGTGTCAAAGAGAGTAAATCATTGCTTACATGAGAAAGGAGGTTCTACAAAATATTAGAATGCTTTTTTTATGGTTTTGCTTTTGTAAATTGTTGTTTTTATATATTATTTGGAATATATCCTTAACTTTTGGCCAATTTTTTCTTTGAAAAAAAATAACCTGTTTCATTGTTTTCCATTTTTTAGTATCAAGATCATTATGTTTATATTTATTTTTTTGGATTTCCATAATGTATAATTCCAATAGTTCATAATTCCAATATATATATATATAAAATCGATTTTTAGATGAGATTAAATAAAAATAACTTTGCATGATATCATACAAAGATAGGCAAGAATTATTAAATAAAACAACAGTAATAATATCTAAGTGGTGCCACAAAAACAAGCTCTTGCTTGACAAACACAAGCCCAAAGATTAAAAAACTAAACCAAACGATCACAAAGAGTAACAGTTTTATTTATTAAGGTGTTTATTAAGAGTATATTTTTTTACGAAAAGAACAATATATTTTTTACCTGATGAATGCAAATGCATGAAACTTTTAGTTGTAAAAATTATGTAGTTATTTTTATTTAATCTCGTCTAAAAACCAATTTTATATATGTATATACATATATACATATATATATATATATATATATATATATATATATTATATATATATATATATATATACATACATATATATATATATATATATATATATATATATATATATATATATATATATATATATATATATATATATATATAAATATATAAATATATAAATATATATATTTATATATATATACATATATATATGTATATATATATATATATATTTATATATATATATATATATATATATATATATATTTATATATATATATATATATATATATATATATATATATATATATATATATATATATATATATATATATATATATATATATATCATATATTTTTCACTCCAAACAGGGCTGCAAGCAACCACAATTAAGTTAGGAGAAAAGAAAAGTAAGAACTAAACTAAAACTTTGAGGTTTTTTAACTTTGACTATTTTTAATTATTGGAACCACTCTAGGTATTTTCAATAGGTCAGGAAAAACCCCTCTTTTAAATGAAAGTTTAAAAATAATAAGTAAGGGGTATTTGCATAAATAAGTCTATGCATAAGTCAGGAAAACATGACAATGGAAGAGAGTTTCAAATCACAAAAGTATGGGAAAAAACTAAATTAGTTAAATTTTTTGGAGCATGAATGAAACAGATACAGTATGATAAATCTAATGAGCACCAACTATGATAGCATTTGCAGAAAAATGTGCAAGTCTAACTACATTTACAATGCTTTTATGGATCTTTTCCAGAAAAGAAAAAGCAGTCAAAATTTGCCATAAAAAGAACCAGTCTAAATTTGACAACAGTATTCCATACAGGAAAAATAAGAGATATATAATTAGAGATTAAAAATAAGAGGTTGAAAATAAAATTAGGAGTAAGATAAATGGCGAGCACAATAAAGAGAAGCAACCTTAGCAAATGCTAACTTTGCAATCAATTATATAATTTCAATGAAAAATTAGTAGTAAATGATAATTCAATAAAACATATAGACGAGGACTCCTAATTTTTTTTTTTTTTTAATTTTTTTTTGAGACCAATTTTCGCTCCTCTTCTTTTTTATTATTTTGGATGATGATTCAATTGCTTAGAACAAGCTGCCTGTTCTAAGTTATCAAAAAGACTTTTTGTCAATACTGGAATATAAATTTAAGTTGTCAGCAAATAGAGCCACTTTAAATGAAAAAGTGTCTGGAAGATCCTTATTATAGATAAAAACAATAGAGGACCAAGGATAGAAAAAAATGAAGAAGAGTAGTGTAATAAATGACTCTAATACTGCGGTTGAAAAAAAATAATTTGATAATCTGAAAAATTTTCCTACATGAAGCAACTTTATGGAGAAGACTATCATGCAAAACTTTATCAAAAGGTTTAAACATGTCAATAGTCAATACCCTTGCTTTGCTGCCTCCATCTAATGAACCATGGAATTTTTCAGTTAGAGCAGTTAGCAAATCATTTCATAGAGCAAAATCAAAAGCCATGTTGATTTCTAGAGAGTTATTAACTTATTATAGGATGTTATTAACTTTTTGATTAAAGACCTTGCTTATAAAGCTGATAGGACAATTGTTGGAGAAGTCAGAATGTCCTCCAAAATTTTTTTAAATTGGTAATACAGTAGCCATTTTACAGTGAGCAAGAAAACGAGATTCAGTCAAGCACTTAACCAATAGTTTTCAATAAAGTGAAATAGGATGCAAGATTTAGTAAACTAGAAAAAATGAAACTCATCATCAGACAACACAAATTTACATTTATTTCTTGTAATTATAAAAAGACGTTTGTTATGAAGATTACAATAAGATATAGCAGTTGCAAAAGAAGTTGAAAACCATGTAGATTTAGGCTTGACTTAAAACAGATAAGAAAAAATAACGTAGGAGGCACATTTTTCAGGGGAAAGGCAAAAGACATCAACCCAAGGACAAGCACAAAAAAAAATTTAAAAAAGAATCTCCGTCAGCTTTAGGGTAGTAATAGTGCCATCATAGGGCAAGTCCAAAGAAATATAAAATAAAAGATTTATAGAGATCTTTAAATGGTCTGAAACCAAACACAAGCTAGGTTCAGAGACAAGATATTAATCAAGAAGTGAAGGTAATTGATTATGGTTGTTTGGAAAACAAGTCACAGAAATATAGAAGTTATGGGCTTTAGTGCAGGGTCTATGGTGTTTGATTTGAGCCATTTAGTGTAATAA